GTAGTTTGTTAATAATTTTGAGTTTCGTCCCATATGGTTTTAAAACTGTGATTTTCGTCCTTACGTTTTTATAATTTATTGTTATTTTCGTTCCTGGATTAATTCTTATCTTGAGGCTATGTTTGGTATATGAGATAGGACAGGACGGGACAAGAATTCAATGTCTCACGTTTGGTCCGACATAGGACAGGGACAAGGTGGGACAAAAAAACTTTTTTTTGTTCCACCAAAATATATAGGTGAAACAAGATAAGACAAGAATGAGACATAAATTAAAATATTACTAATTTACCCTTGTTTGATATGTAACCTAATATAGTATTTGTCTTAGTGGTCACCACCGCTAATCGTGGTGGCCGCGCACCGATAGCTACCGTCGGCCACCTCCACCTCCTCTTCCACTACAATAACCTCCTCCACCACCACTGTGAACCTCTAACCACCACCATCCATTGTCACCTCCATAACCATTGTTCTTGCAACAATCTTCACTGTGTATTCGCCAATTGATAAGTATCTTCCAAACCGAAATAAAACATAATTTCTTCTTTGTACGAATCGGGTTTTTTCGAACTACCATCAATTAAATCAAAATTTTCATTCAAATTTAGTACTATTATATATGTATGTATTTATGTATATGAAAATTGTGTAAACATGTTTATATATTAAATTATTTAACATTTACTTTATTTATGTTAATTATAACTATTGTATAATATATAAAATCATCAAATTACTTTTGGGGGCAACTTGTTTAATTTTGTCATGTTCAGTCTTAATCGTACCAAACACCAATTAGAATTCAATAACTTCACTCATTTGAAGCGGATTCCAGGAGATCGAAGAGAGCATGGAATGGGGGGTCCTTCCTTCCCGTGACAGACAATTGTTGTGTCCAGTTCTGTCCTCTCCAGTCCTACCCTTTTGTCATGTCTAGTTCTGTCATGTTCGGTCATGTTCAATGCCTACCAAACGCTACCTTAATGTACAAGGGACCAAAACAATAAATAAATGTAAACTACAAAGACCAAAACAACAATAAATTATAAATCATAAGGATGAAAATAACAATAAATCACATATCATAAGAACAAAAACCATAATTTTAAACCTTAGTAATGATAATCACAATTTTTAACAAACCACAAGGACGAAATCTGGATTATGACCTTCAAAACCTCTAAGCCTTAACCGTTATGGTCAAGAGCTTAACTTTTATTGAACCAATCATTATCCGTTAAGCAAAGTTGTCAGATCTTTTAATAAAATATCACAAACCTTAAGTAAATTATACCGATATGTTAACTAATAAATTAGTTGTTAGCTGATAAGCTATCTAATAAACTAGTTATGTTTGGTAAAAGTTAATTTATAAATTAAATTACAATATAGAATAAAATATAAGAGACATAATTAAAAAAAAAGTGAACCAACCCCAATAAATTATTTGAAGTAGTTTCTTAAAAATCTAATTTATAACTTACAAAATAAGGTTTAATAAATAATAATAATAATAAAAACAAGCATTTCATGTGTAGCTGAGTTGACAAATAGGTGATACAACTTTGTTTAAATACAAGGCAGGTCTCGAGTTCGATCTCGAGCCCCCACTAGCCTCAACCGCTGAGTGGGCCAAAAAATGCGCACTTACATTGGTCATTAATCAACTTTTTGCCTAAATATAATAAGTTAAGGAAGCTTATAGTTACAAAATATGAGTGTTCATATGAAAATATTAACTAAAATAAGATAATAAGAAAACGGTCGAATCACATGTGATTTTGCACTAAAATCACATGTGATTCACGTTACTTTGGTCGTGACCTGAGGTCGGGGGCCACGTCGCCCACACGCTCTTGCGTTGACAATTAGTGTAAATCACGAGTGATTTTTGTAACACTTTCAAATCTGGAAAGAACGACTAATTGAAATTTTTAGATAATACATCAAATAAAGAACAAGTTCCTTTCTAAAGGTTAACATTTTATTATATATAATGACAATTTAATGATTTAACATCAACCAATAATAAACCAAACTTTACGCAAAGTCTAGATCAAGGACGAGTGTTACTAAAACTCAACAATAATCGCTATCTCCAAAATACGAAAATGAGTTCAAGTAGTTTTCATTTTTAATATAAAATGGTAAAAATTGAAAGAGTACTTATTTAAATCATAGTTTCTCATATAAAACATTCTTACCATAAAAACAACATCTTTCTAAAACATATGAGTTCGTGCTGAAAAGTCAATAATCCAAACACCCATTTTAACATGAAACCAAAACCCAATACTCATACAAAATGTGAATAAGGTTTAATATTCAAATAGTAAAAACATGGGAAATTTTTTTTTATCCAAAACATCAAACATGGATAAGTTCCAATATACCAAAACCATATATCATGGATAACACTTTTGTATTCAGAACATCACCTGAAAACATGGATAAAAATCAATACCTAAAACAACACCTTTCAGTAACAGAGGAGACCCATTTTCATCGATCGTGGTAAAACACAAAGTAAGTCAGTTACCAATTTGAGTTTCTCTTAAGGTTATTGAGCTCTATATACGACTCTACTGAGTACACTGCAAGGCCAAAGCTCTGTATATGACTCTAATGAGTACCACCATAAGCCTGAGGGTAACAAAGATTTTTCCTCATCCTCTAGATGAGTCTCACCACAAAAGTCGTCGATATTTGTATACGGCTCCAACGAACACCATTGCAAGACGTAGCCTCGTATATGACTCACTATAGTACCACTGCTGACTACAAGCTCTATATACGACCCAATAGGATACCACCATAAGCTCTCAAAAACCATGACTTGGTGACCGCTCACTATAAATTATAGTGAGAACATCAAAAGTTCTCACTTAAAACAATAAACATCAACCTATTAGTCCTGAAGTCCAACTCTGAGCAAGTTCACCTCTGCAATACCATATGACATCGACAACTAGGTCCCCTGAGTCTGACTCTACATGAATCTATCTCCGTAATATCGTGGTTCTTGAGTCCAACCCCACATGGGTCCCTCTTTGTAATATTGACACGACCACTATGCTTACTTGAGCATTGGTCCCAAAATGAAAACATCAAAACTCCTCACTCATCAAATGACTGACTCACATGCCTATGGATCCATTGCATTATAGTCTAAATTACATGACTACAAATAAATGACCAACAACTCAACTTTTAATTTCCAAAGAAATATGCCAAAAATGTCATGCATGTCCAAAACTCAATATTGAGTAATTTAAACCGGACAAATGTCATTACAACTCATTTGAGCCAAAATCAAGCTAATGACACCGCACTTATTTGACTATTCAAATAAAAGTCAACATAGGCAATAAAATGCATTTAATCCATGTTTATGCAAACACATGCCCTAAAGGTATGATTAACTCCAAAGATCCATCATTTGCTTTTTTTCCAAATAAAATCAACTATTTATATTTCAAAAATGCATCATAACATAAAAATATACATTTTGTAAATAGTTTATAAAAAACCATATACACTAGCAGTGTATTTCATCAAATAATGTTTATTTATACGATAAATCAACAAACTGACATACTCTTATGATTTATTTATCAAAATGTCCACAGCCTCAAATATAGGCATTTTTCACAAGATTTATAAAACTAAAAGTCCCCAAGATGCAAATCTCATCAAATAATAATGCATTTGATAAATATCAAGAAAACATCTTAAAACTCTAAAATTGACACTTTTGACATGTACATGGTTTTTACAAAACAACTTGAACTCACCTTGTTATAAGTTAGACCTAGATCCCAAATCAAATCTTTATCTTCCAATGTTGAGGGCCTGTGATATCCTAGCAAGCCTTCCAAATCTTAGCTCCAAAGCTTCCACAAGGTTTCTTCTACCACAAATACTCTCAAAGTTACACCCAAATAGCAATAAATGGAAAGGGGATGAAGAACACTTAAATCCTAGTTTGTGGTTGGAGAAGAGAAATCTTACTTTCAACTTGGTAGATCCTAGATCATCAAGAAACGCTTCCAATGGCCTTTAAAGTCGGACCTAAAGCCTCCCAAAACACTAGATTTTGAGAGAGAAAGGTGGAGAAGAAATTTGGGGGAAGAGAAAGTGAGAAAACCCCAAAACTCTGACTAAAAGATGCTCAAAAACCCGACAAGCCCGACCAACCTAACGTGAAACAAGCCAACTTAAAGCAACCCGATGTCCAATTGAGTTGCAAAGTCTTCAAACCGTAGGTAATGAGTTGAAATTGAGAAGTCATTTGGATCCAACCCAACCTGATGAACCGATATCCTTTTATTTATTGGATTAAATATGATTGTCCAGTCACTGTTAATATGTCCACTAAACAATTACACCATCATGTACCCTCTTCATATAGATATATTTTTTTTATCTTTTCTTCATCTCTATATAACTCCTTGATATATATGTTCAATAAATGTATATATATGCATATTGAGAAAAGTAGTTGAATGTGATATACTTAAGATTTAAGGAATATGGATAAGTTGTACCAAATGACTTATGATGAAAAAGAAAATATGAGTAGAGAAAACAACATATTCAATTATTCAGTGTTAGGAGAATATTTTAATATACTAAAGTATCAACCCCACCAACTCATACAGTTTGAGTTGAATTGAGATTTGTAAAAACCGCAAACATTAAGTTGAGTTATTCAAATGTTTTCAACCCAACCCTTGAGCACCCTTGCAATACCAACAATGGCTTATGCGATTTTGGTCACAGTTCCCATGTTGCGTGCCGTGCCGTGCCGTGATGCATTCCGGTCGTTCCCTCGACCATTTCCCCGGAATTTATATCTTAATGATGACAATGAAAATACGGTTATTACAATTTTACATATGATTTTTAGCCTTAAAATGTGGTAACTAAGTGCTTAAAAAGTGATCAGGCTTCTCGATTAAGGTCTCAAAATGGAAAATTTTGAACTTGTGTGACCATTTTGAAAAATAAAGAACAAAGCAAGCTTTCTCGGAGTTAGTCAACCAACAGAGGGTTCTTCGATGGTAGACGCAATCGCCAAACTTTGACTGAGCGAGAGGAGAGGTAGTAATTGGCAAAATCAATGGCGATCCTGTATGCGCTGGTGGCAAGGGGCACGACGGTGCTGGCGGAGTTCAGCGCCGTATCTGGTAACACTGGAGCAGTTGCTCGCCGGATTCTTGAGAAGTTGCCGGCGGATGTCGAATCCAGATTATGCTTCTCGCAGGAACGTTACATCTTCCATATACTCAGATCTGACTCTCTCGCCTTCCTCTGTATGGCCAACGATACCTTTGGAAGTTCGTATCTCTCCTTTCTTCCCTTACACACACTCTTACACGCGCAATCATGCTCGCATCGATCTGTTGTACGAGTTAGATCCACGTTGTATTAAGATCAGTAATTTTAGGCTGTCGGAAGTGTACAATTTTGGTTGATTGCTTCACGTACGGTTCCATTAATAGAAAATTCATGAAGAAATACATATAATATATTTGGGTAAATCATTAGCTCCCAACAATTTTACCATCATCACAATTCGTGTATGTAGCCAAAAAGAATATGGTGACTTTGGTGGTGACATTGGGGGTAGCTTACTCGATCTATTTATTCATGTATTCAAGTAATTGTCTGTTTTACCGATGAATTTCCAGTTTGGATTTTGTTTGGCACCAACAGATGATACGATTGACAGACTATCTCATGACTTCATATCACAGTTCAATATATTTAAATTCTTATGTTACGTTTGGACTTTGGATATTGTAAACCTAGCTTAGGGAACAGACAACATGCTTTTCTGTTTCAATGGAATTATGGCTTTCAAATCAGCAACTTGTGATCTCATTCAAATAGGCTTTATATGAAATCCTTGGTATTGTCATATAGTTATGCCATTCTGTTGATCCGTATATAATTATGGACACAATTGAATAGAGTTTTTTGATTTGGTTGTTAACTTGTTATCATGTTATAACTTATACGAACACAGGAAACATAAATGCAAATAACTTATGGTTACATGAACTATCTTTATAATTAAAGACACTTAGTTAAATAAGTGGAGCTAGTGCCACATGGATCATTTGATGAGGTATTAAGGTAGAATGGAACTATGCTGGAAAAATCTGGAAGGATTTTGTACACCTTCTAATTATGCAAACCAGGATGATTGGTCCACTACATATACTTGTTGGTGCATTAAGGAGACCATATTTTGTTGTTGATGTGTGTCTTATCAAAATCAAACTAACAAGCCCGTCAAAAAATGAAATAGTTGTACATGGTTTCTTGATGTTTTTTTATCCTTCGTGCAACTAACTCAAACCATTGACCTGATCGCGTTTCTTAAAATCGGCTTGACCTACAACTTCAATGATTTATCGAGTGAGATCACTCATAATCTTTGGTTCCACAAGACGACCAATCACTATTCACCATAACTATATTATCGACTATAATCAAGTAATACTCCCCCTCTTACTTTGACGTAATTATTGCGCTTTTATAGTTTGTGCTCCTAAAGCAAAGTGGTAGGGGTTTCTATGAAATTATAATTTCACATTGATCTACTAAAAAATGTCTCCTCAATTTGTTTTCACACTTGTCTTGAGTATTTGAAAATGTACTAATATATGATATTTTCCAGGAAGAATTCCATTTTCATACTTGGAGGACATCCAAATGAGGTTTATGAAAAACTATGGCAAGGTGGCACCATATGCTCCTGCTTACGCAATGAATGATGAATTTTCAAGGGTCTTGCATCAGCAGATGGAGTTTTTCTCCAGTAACCCCAGTGCAGATACACTCAACCGTGTTAGGAGTGAAGTTGGTGAGGCAAGTATTCTATTTAGGACGAGATATAAATTTACTTTTTATCGAGTAATTTGGGTCATGTGGTGACCTGGAATAATTATATTATAACTATTAAAAATAAAAATAACATTCTAACATTATTTTCATCTTCTGATGTTGTGAGTGCAAATAGGGACACCTTATTAGAAATGAACAGAATCAATCTTGGCATGATTTGTGGGGAGGGTGGGGTGTAAACATAATTATTTAAGTCTTGCGTTATGTGGAGGTACAAAAATTGTTCTTGTCATAGATGATAGGTAATGCAATCTAGGTATGCAATCATGCACCATAGGCAACCGTGATATGTTAGCTTCATATTTGTCATAACCTTTGTGATACTAATGAACAGATATGATTGATCTTACTATATGTTTCTCATAGCAATTCATTATTTACAACTGCAATATCAATTCACAAACTGACAGCATTGATTACAAGTACTTCACATCTAGGAAATTAGATTTACTATAAATGTTTGATTAAGCAAATTAGTTGATACAAGGAATACCGAATACGTTTAAGTCACATTCTATTTGTGTTAGTTGTCTTTGAGTCACATTCTACTGTCAATTCTCAACTCCTATGTGCATAACTTAGGTATATGGACACTTAGCCACTTGGCATTAATAATTATGAATCCCATTTTATGTGCATCAATTCCTGGGTATTCTGTTCCCTGCCAGATCTTTGCATGTTTCTTGAAATGTTGCAGATTTGGGCCAGCGGGACCATTGCTGAATGCTACAAAGTGTGCGGGTTTGGTTTTCTGGCTTTGATGAGTGTTTAGTCTACTAGAGTTGCTTAGGTATATTTTTATTTTTATTTTATCATAGGAATGTGAACTTGTAAAATGGTGATTATAGCATGTTTGTTAAAACTCATATACGTATGATGGTGGTGGCAAGAATAAGGGATAAAATATGATTTAAGTTGGAACATTATTCTAAGAAAATAATGTTAATCGACAATATCATGTTCTGAAGTCTGGTTTGTATGCTTGTTTAGCTTTACTACAAATATATTTGATTTTGCAAAATATGACAGGATTAGAAAGCACAATTTAGGTAGAGGTCCTCGTTCTCATGATGAGTTCGAGTTGTACTCTTTTCGAGCCTGATATGTTTGGTTAGGGACATGCATTTAATGGGTTTCTAACTGGAGCACAATAGGTAGAAAAATCATATAGTTTTTTAAGTATCTGGATACTAAATATGAGCTTTACCTGGTCAAATTCATGTTTGGGTTTCTGCTTCTGTCAGTGCAAGACAACTATCAGTTCCAACTAAAAATAAAATTTACGTATTAGAATTCAAGTCCTGTTTCAAATAAACACGGCTGTTTAAGTTATGATGTGTATGAGTTTTTACATCTTATATTGCATCTCATTTACTTGTTACCTGTATTTCTGAATGTATCCTTGTCATGGACCTGTGGACTTTATTTCATTGAAGCATCCCCAAATCTAGCTGTCTTCTCTATATTATAGAGATCTTCTGGTATAGTATGATTAGAGGTGGCAAAACAGGTGGGTTGAATAACAGGTCAAAATGGGTAATATTTAAGTGCGATTGCCGGGTTGGCTCGTCGACACCTTTTTGTCATTTTTGGATATATATTTAATGTATAAAACTTGATTACAAAAACTATGTAATTAAAATAATAATATAGTGTTCTGAAATAATATGTCTAGGAGGTTGAAATTGAATATCCTTTAGACTACTTTCGACCCATTTAACATGTTTCCTTTGTAACTATTTTTTCTGTTTTACCTGTTTTCATACAAAAGAGTTGCAACAGACACCTCGAAGTAAGATGAGACTATGAGGCTGTTTCAATTTTATTTTTTATTCCTTTGCTTTTTTTGATTTCTTAAGACCTATTATAATAACAATGATCACATATGTGTATTCAGGTACGTACCATTATGGTGGATAACATTGACAAGATATTAGAGAGAGGTGATAGGATTGAGCTGCTTGTTGATAAAACTTCAACAATGCAAGACAGTGCCTTTCATTTTAAGAAACAATCTAAGCGACTTCGTAGAGCTCTTTGGATGAAAAATGCCAAGCTACTGTAAGTAATCTCTACCAATATTAGCTGACACTTCTTTACTATTTATCCATTACATTATATGCCACGTGGAGAATGTTTTAAGCTGATCACCATCCCTCATAGAATGCATAGTCAATAAGAGATCATTTGGTAAGTCCCATTGTCCTATATCTGCCCATACAGTTAAGTGAATCACTATTTACGAGCATATATGTATATATTTGGTACCTTGTAATCATTAGCCATCAGAAATCTCCTGCAACTTCTCATGACTGCTGATTTCTTATATGACATTGTGTGAAGGCATGCCAATCCATGGCCTTGTGCCTTTACTGATTCTGTTTACAATATTGTTATGCTTTGTAATGATACATAGACGAGATCTGAAACTAAAAACATATAGAAATGGTGTTATCTTGTGTTTGAAACCGCCATTAGCCTAGCGTTACTTGGTAACCCTCCTTTCTGAAGATCAGAGGTTCAGTCTCACCAACGATGAGAATTATGTATGAGTTTAATTTGCAGTATGTAAATACTATATACTTTAAAAAGGAAAAATGTTAACCTCATTAAAGTGAGTCAACTAGTGTATGCATGCTTTTTTCTTCTTCTGGTCATAAACCAAGTAAAACATGATTTCTATTTTTGGTTTTGATTTTAGATATTCTTCCTTTTTGGGAAAAAAAGAATAAGGACACTAAACAAGTGTGGCTTTTGTTATCAAACAATAACCATAACTTTGTTTACATTTTTTTTTAAATGTAACCGAAAACAGAAAATGTAAATGGTATTAAAGGATACAAAAGCATCGATCTCACTCTTATATTGCGATATGTTTCAGGGCTTTATTGACGGCCGTGATATTTCTATTATTGTACATAATAGTTGCGGCTTGCTGCGGAGGCATCACTCTGCCTTCTTGTAGATCATAACTTGTTTTGGTTGAGGTATGCGATAGACACTCTCCAATGGTTTATTAGTTGCATGAGCTTCTGTTTTGTTGGATTGTGTATATGAGTTCTACATATTGGTTTTGTGAAACCATTTGACTTGGTCATCGGCACCTTTCTCTTGTCCCTTTGTAAATTACACAAATATCCATCTAGTGTTGATACTTAAATTTTCAGGTCCAATTTTTGTGTCTTAATTTCGTATTCTGATAACCAGACGTCTTGAGTTGGAATTCATTTTCCTCATGTCGTCTAATATGTCGTTTAGGGTGCGTGGATGTGATTGGATGGGCGAGAGTGAGATAGACGTGTGAAAAAAATTATGATAGGTTTTAGGGTTTTGATTTAACATGAGTAGTTTATTTTTTTTTACCAATCTTGTCTGGCTTTCTCAATCGTTGTTTCACTTATTTTGATGGGACATAAAAATGCATTTTGCCTATCAAATCTCAGCCTAATGTCATGGCACACATGTGATAACCAGTTTTTGTTATGTTATGTTCCGTGTACCAACCATATTTTTATGTGCATGATGGTTTATCGAATAAGATCTAATGGTCTATTTTATAATTTTTGAGCGGTGTGTTGAACATTTGACGATGAAATCTTATTAAATAGGGAAAACATTGCATTATTTAGAGAATGAATAATGTTATATGGCGCACGAAGAAATGAATGTATGATTGTATGGACCGAGACAAGGGAGATCGTGTAGGAATTGCAACGGATCGGGTTCGGGTCGGTTATCGGTATCCCCGTCCCCGGAACCGATAACCAAAACCATCCTTGTAACCGTCTCGATCGCCTTCCGGATCTTATCAGGGGCCCGTGGTTTCACCGATCCTGTTGGGGAACCCGTTAAGGGTAAAAATCCCTGTTCATCGTTGGTTATACCCAAACCCTGATACAAAATTGGCCCGAAGAAATTACAATATGTTGATTACAATTTTTTTTAAACTTGCAAGTCTAAATGTCTCAAACACAATAAAACCAATTACGAACAATGTCTTAAATTACAATATAAAAGTAAATAGAAATTGAAATGTCTTTCAACTAACATCAAGATTTTATGATTCGACAAATAAAATAGACTTTTCATGAGACTTATTTGGGGTGTTAATGTAAAGTGGATAAAAGTCTTTTATACTATAATATTAGTATTTTTCTTTTAATGATATTATATATATACACACATATATCGGGTCGGGCCGGGCCGGGCCGATGATCACTCTCCCAGTTCCCCGAAAAAATCCATGAATATGTCCCCTATCCCTGTCTTGTTCTTGGAAAGAGGTCCCCCGAACCCGACCTAAAAAGTTTGGTTTTCAGTTTTCATCATCGTTTTCGGGGTTTTTTTTGCCCATCCCTAAGATCGTGAGAGTGAAGAGATTTGATATTATAAACAAAACCAAAACAAGTGATGAAAAGTGTTGGTCGTCTTCAACTATATTGAATTGTTTTTTGCTAGGGATAGCAAAAGAAAAACGATATATATATATATATATATATATATATATACACATTAAAATTTAAGACTTTTATCTATTTTATTTCAATACCTCAAATAAGGTTCACGAAAAAATATAGTTTATTTGTCTAATCGTGAGCGTGATGTTAGTTCTATAATGTTTGAATTCCTGTTTACTTTTATTTTGTAATCTAAGACATTGTCCGTAAGTGGTTTGATTATGTTTGAGACATTTAGACTTACATATTTAAAAATTTGTAATTTATTTTTAGTTGTGAAAATTAACATATTGTAATTTTTTTCAGATAACTTCGGGTTTCGGGTTCGAGAATAACCAACGATGAATGGGTAAACCAACGGGAAAAAGCGGACTTTTACCCTTAACGGGTTTAACCAATGGGGATCAAGAAACCACGGAGACCCAGCGGGGATCGGGAGGGTTACAGTGACGGTTTTAGTTATCGGTTTCGGGGACGGGGATACCAATAACCGGCCCGAACTTGACCTGTTGCCATTCCTATTTTTTGCAACTATGCTAATCCTAACCCTATGCTAATCCTGACAAAGACGACCGTAAGACATCAACACTGATAAACTTAATGACCACAATTGTTGTGGACGTCTAGAATCGACTTCAGACTAAATGATATTCCGCCATATTCCTCTATGCCTCAACCATTGCACCAATAACACCCTAACACAACTAATTTATATTGATTTCTTAGTAATGTACGATGTTATTATTAATTTTGTTTGAAAAAAGGTATTTAATAAAATTATTTTCCTTCCTAGAAGGGAAGTTCGAAAATGCATTTTATTGGTTTGAAATCTTAACCAAAATAAAACATTAGATACATATTTCCATTAGTATCGGGTGAAAAGTTTAGGAGCACGTAAGGATTCGAATGCTTATCCGGTACGTGTTTATTCATATAAGTTAATATTTTTACTAATAAGTATGTAACAGTTTACTTTCTAAGCGTTAACTGGGTAATAGTCATCAACTTTACTTACCGGGTAAAACTCTCGGTCCTTGACATCGCTCTTACCGGAAAAAAAAATTTAGTTCTTGTCATGTTCATCCAGTAAGGTAAATGACCCGATATGTGCTTCCGGGTAATATTTAGTAAATGACCCCTAAATGAATTTGAAATATGTTAGGGTGTCAACTTTGTTTTATGTCCAGTGTCTCGTACATCTGTGTTACAAAACAAAATCATGTTTTTGATATTTAACGTAAATGAAGGTGAAAAGTTATCTGATTTATCTTTCAACATGTTGATAAACATGATATTTCCTGTTCGAATTTGTTGAAATGGCCACTTTGGGTTGCACGAAATTTTTTATAACAAAGATTTTGTCATAATCAAGTAGATGTGGTCTGTTACTTTGAACTCACTCGGTTAATTTAGTTAATAAAAAACCAAATATCATAATTTATTTAAAAATAGAGTTAAAAGGCAAATCTAGTCCATGTCGTTCACAAAAATTAACGACTACCGTTTCTCGAAATAATGTTTAAGGAAAGACATTCATGTAGTTTTATTTTTGTAATGGATCTGAATTGCTAATAACACCATCTTATAGAAAGTAAAGGGTGAAGAAGGATTAATGGACGAAACTGCCTTCATTTACGACAGTTTAGAAGATAGTGTCACTAGTAGGAAACTAGGAACCCACTTCATTATTTACGTTGTATTTGATAAAAACTCTTAAAAACCATTTATTATGTACAAAGAACCGTTTATTAATGAATATTACTGATTAGCAAAAACTCTTAAAAACCATTTATTATGTATAAAGAACCGTTTATGCAAGAATACAAACTCAGACTCCGTTCGACTACCGAGCCATGACTCGCAACTCACTCGATAAAGATACTGAGTCGCAAGTGCCGTGTCGTTTACAAATAGGAAACGTCCTCCGCCACCGTTGTTCGATAATTCAGATTCAGCATCCTGTGTATCAGGGTTTTGAAGTCAAGTAAACGATCAATTTGGGGCGTTAAACAATACGCTGATGAAGCCAATTAGGCTTCCGGAACCGCCGGGTAGTCCACCGAGAGGGGTACCGGATATCTTCGAAGGCGGGGTTTATGGTGTTGTCAAGCGGGCTATTATAATCGGTAACGGTTTCCAGGCATCGGAGAATCAGAGTATTGGTTTAGTTAGAGCGCTTGGATTTTCGGAAAGACAAACTCTATATGTAAGTTCTGATTTTGTGTCTTTCAAATTTACAACTCTTTTTCATGAAATTTGAAGCTGTAAGTGTAATTGTTCAGTATGTAGCTTAAACATATGTGTTTATGTACTTCAAATTTGATTTTATTAGGCATAGGATATTTGACTAGAGTATTTAGATTATGGAAGGAAACTCCCTTCCTTTCCTAAAAGGAGATGCACATCGAGCTATTATCTCAAATCAGTTAAATGATCTAATTTTCAACTTCGAAGTTAATGTGATTTCTGCAACATTGATAACAGCATGAATCTCTGTTGAAGAACTAGAATTGGAATGCTGGGGGTGTTAGATTTGTTATATCGTTTGTTGATGATCCTCTTTAGTTTGGAAGCATCTGGGGTCTTGTGATACCTTACACCTGATGGATCCTTGACTGATATCAATTTTGCATTTGAACACTAAGGTTGACTTACAAAAGGAGGCACAAGTTCAACTCTTCTTCTTGGGACCAAGGGAACAATGTGATTTTGATTTTATTATTTAGAGTTATCTGCAATAATTCGGACGAATCTGTTATAAAACAGGAATTTCTGTTTCCATGGTTGCTTGATTATGAGTTGCTTGTGAGCAGCTATGTGTTGACCACTGAACAAATTTGGTTAAGGGACAGAGTTATGTGTTAGCAGCAACTTATTGACATTTGATAAACTCACAGCATCCTGCCTGTTCAAAAGTTACACCGGGCTAATTGGCTGCTTATGAGTATTGATTAGTGGACACTGGACACATAACCTGCAGTACACTCTGCCAATGTAAGTCCAGTAAGAAAAGTTTTGTATGATATGTGTTATGGTGAGTTCGAAATCTAATCGACTTGGCGGTGAATTGTTTTGGTGAGAAAGACATTTGGCTAGATATTTGGCTAGATATGTGGTCATGCACTTGGGGCTAATGATTAATAAAGATTGTTAGCATCTGATGTCTCTTTATCTTTTAAGCCAGTGTGTCCTATGCTACTCACTTGACTTCTCACTGCGGAATCATAGTCGCAACCCGGAATAATATTAAGATCCACACTTCTCACTGGACTTCTCACTGTGATGAAGAGATGTTGGAAAAAAAGGTGGATATATGCTTTCTTGATGGCCCTCTTTGGAATTTAGAAATGGGAGTAAGACTGTTAATTATAGGTGATGTTTGTTTACATCTGAATGGGTTGTGTGACCTGGACCTCTGAATCAGTTAGAGGCCAACCCGTTTGTAAAAACGGTTTCTGAATGGCAGAATGGTTAAGAGAGAAAAAAAACCCTATCTAGAGGAACCACTGAGTCATATTTTTTTATTTTGACAAATTTGACCTACTTCCAAGAGACGCACATTTTTTTTCTTCGTCTCCTTTCGATTTCTTCATGTCTGCCCGGATAAGTACATCACCTCTCATCCTTCTCTTTGTTTTTTTGTTCAATTTGCTGTTCAATTACAGGTTCAGAACTTCAGATGTGTTTGATTTTCAGTTTAGAGTTTCGTTCTAGTCAATTTACAACTTTTGAAGTTCTTGTTGTTTGATATTCAATTTATTATCAATATGTTGAACTCGTCGGTTGACTTGCCAATTTGCATCAGTTCTGCTGATTTGCATTGAGCTGCTTGTTCTTTGTATTTTGGGGTCTAAAGATACTGAATTCTGTTTTGGTGTTTTACCAATCAAAGCTTTTTGATAGGAAAATGACAATGAATACCATGATGGCCCTTTATACTTGGAATAAATAGTGCTCAATAGTTTAGTGCAGAACATCACATATGACTTGTGTTGCAATAACCATGCGCAAATATGGAAATGAAACAGAACAGAAGTGCAGAATAAAAATGAATAATGTGTTAAAAATGTGCAAAATATATTATGTTGCAAAAATTAACTCAGAAACTTCATATGTATTTTACTTCCCAGATCTAGTTAACTCGTGTGCAATTAGCATAAGTAATGTAAATAAGAAGATACTCTATGCAAACATCTAATTATGCAGTAAGCTACTCTAATTTATAGAAGCAGATTTAAAAAGGTAGAATCATATCATATATGTAAGCGAGTGCAAGAAACTAATATGAAGCAAGACCAAAATGCAATATCCTAACAACAAAAAACAAACGATAGGGGAACGAACAATTTGCAAATTAAATTCATACCCGATGACATATTTTTTGGTTAAAATTTTATGATTGAAAATGTAATTTTCTGTGTTTTTTCCTTTCAGGATGGCCTTTGAATTGAAATATTAGCAGCAAAATATTTAGGACAACAACAAATAGTTTTTCTTTTTCATCCATAGTTGCTTTTATGCATGGCCTTTATAGTGCTCTGTCGTTTACTACTTGTTTAAATCGATTCTTGGACTTTTGGTTTTTAGCTGCTTATCTCTCGATGGCAAATAACTTCCGTACGTGAATACGTGATTGATTATGCAATGAGAGTATGCTGCTTATGCAGTAACTTTAGTTGTCAGAATATGAAAGAGGAACGGCTCTGAAGCAAATCAAATGAGAACAACACATAAAAAATTGAGCAAGAACTTTAAAAATTGAATGAAAAAATCAAAAGAAACCCTAAGCTACAAATCAACAGCAAATCAAACACATCTGAGCATGTAAGTAAACTGAAAAGTCAAACAAATTGAAAGAGGAGGATGTGAGTAGTGAGAGTGATGTACTTACCAGTGCAGTTTTGAAGAAATCAGAAGGATAAGACAAATACGGCTCTCTTGAAGGTTGGGCAATTTTGTGAAAATGAAAAATGTATATCCCAGTAGAATCTTTCAGTTATAAGGTAGTGGTTTTTTCACTTAATCATTTAGTCATTCTGAGGCCTCTGTTCTTTTTTCTTTTTAAAACAAATGAGCCTGGCCTCTTTACTAATTCAGAGGTTCCCGTCATTCAGATGTAAACAAACACCGCCACAGTTATGCTAGATTCATTCAAAGTCAAATTTGCATCATATAATGTTTAGTAGGCACCAGTAAACTGGGTCATTGGCTCATTTCACTCATCATCGACTGATCTGTTGTATTCTATATCTCTTCCTATGCAACTTTAGTGGTGTTTTAGCATTTTACATGCTCATTTGTATATGTGTTTGACCATGTGTTCTAGGAGTTAAGCTTCATCCTGAAACTCTAGAATCAATGGGGGCTAGGAAGGCATGTTATGAGTTAGTTGATATTCTTATTGCTATGTGACATGATCAAGTAATTCACAATCATGTCGTTGTCATTGATAACTTTGTGCGGGTATGTCCAAATGGACCCAGTCCCAAGGCTCTTGTTAAAGCAGATGATTGATTGTATACTGAATTCTGGGAATCATATGACGTAATGCAGTATATTGTTAAGGTGCAACAGTATACTGGGGAAACAATCAGTACTTTTTATGTGCCTATGTATTTGTCTTGCCCGTGCAGAAAATTTCACATTGTTCTTCTGGCAATGCATGCAGCGTGTTACAAGGCCAAGAGGAGGTGTCAATGAATGGCTGCACTGGCTCCCAGTTTCTCTCCATAAACAGATATACTACATTATCAGGCTGATTTATGGTTATTCACGAGTTCTTTTTACAAGCAGAGGGAAGAGAGTTCAATCTTTGGCTGGAGAAAACGGTGGAAGTGTAGGCTTGTCATCTATACTTGAAGCAGATGTGAGGTCAATAGTAACAATGGCCAAGGGAACTGCTGAGAAGTGAGCCTTTCTCTTATATCACCATCATACTTATGTACATTCTTCAAGTTTAATTTTAAATCTGTTTATGTTTAAATAATAGATAACTGCATGGAATACTTTTAAGTGATTATTTGGTCCAGTTGGAGAATGATAGATAAGCATATACACATTGCTGGTTAATGCAGCAGAAACCTATCTCCGCGGGGACTTCTCTATATTACAGAAGTTGGTATAGTGAATTAGTGTTACACATAATCTAAAATTTTAAATACAATTAATTAAAAAACTAGTCTTGGACTTGGAGGTGGGCAGATAAATTCAGCCAGATCCATTCAGCAGTAATAACAATGGCCATACATATGATCTGAAAATCTAATTACCTATTCATTAAATAAGGCTTGGAGATGGGGATAATTTCAGTTAGATCCTTTGAACAGTAATGACACTGCATGAACTAAAAGCAAAATACTCACTTGTAATGTGGCAAATAAACTTAAGTACTTCATTTGCTGCAGAAAATAAACTTGGTTAGAAGTAACACTAATGTTGGAGCATGACTGACAAGAAACAAAAAAGTATCATTTGCTATCCAATTCATGCAGCATGTGAAGTGTGGGTGAGTGCATGTCAAACCTTTAATAGAGCAACATTTTAGTTGCTGCATTTCATTTGTTGTATGAATCATTCTATTAGAGTGAGTATTACTTGCTACATATATTATATGATTGTGTAAAGAAAGCACTGTTTAATACATTATATATTATTACAAATATCTGCAAATCCAAGGTGGAATGCATTTAACATTGGCAAGTCAAGGTTCAGTGTGTGATTCTCCATATTTTCGAGTTTAGAACAAAATAAATCCCCAAATTGTCCTTATTGAATGAGCTGTTTGGGGATAAGTAAACATAATGAGGGTGTCATCAACCTTGGCAAAAAAACAATGGTGTGTGTTGGAATCTTTTTCAAAATAATAAGTTGAAAAATATAGCCTGTTCAGTTTTCTGTAGCTCAAGGTAACATGATTTTGTTATGTATTTTATCAATAAACTTCTCTTGCTTCTTTTTTAGGGATGGACCTTTATTGGTGGTTGCATGTGGCAGAGACACCATATCAATTGCGAGCTCTATAAAAAGGCTAGCATCTGACAATGTGTTTGTTGTTCAGGTGGGTTTACTAGGACCTTAATCTGTGCTAGGCGGTTACCAGTTTTTTTCTTTCATAAACCAATGCAATAAACATTTTTATCTTTGTGATGGAACAACAATTATCTGTTCTAAAGCTTGTGTCTCCTCCTTCCATCCAACTTCTTTGAGCTCATTCTTTCTTGAAATTCATTGTGGCCTAGTGATGCTCTTCATATATTTAAGTTTTTTCGCATTGCTTGATCTCCCAACTTCAGTCACATTAACAGTGGGTAGCAGCCTAGATGCTAGGTCATTATGATATCTACCTCACGAAGATATCATTAAATGTAGCTCATTCTTATGGAGAAATGACAAAATATATCTTTTGTGATAACAATTATATGAGCATTTGACATTGTTCACATGAATATATGTATATATATATGTGTGTGTGTGTGTATATATATATTATATTCTTGTGCAACTCTGCAGGATTCTCAAATGTCTGGTATCTGATATATGTCTGCTGCCTTCTGCCCATGAGTGAATCTTTAAGCTACCTTGGTGACTGGTCATGTTTTCAGATGCTTTACTCATGGTATTGGTGGATCAGGTGAAGCATTATGTAGTGATAGGCTGCTTTAGTGAGAGATAATGTTATTGCCCTCTGCCACTTACGCTAGTTAGAATGATTATAATATGGAACTGCATGGAGGGATCCTGTTCTCAATTCTTTGCATTTGCTAATTGTTTTAAGCAGATTAATGCCAGTTCGTCTTGTCAAAGAATATCAAAGTTCTACAAATTAGTTATGATTAATTGCATGGTTTGTACTACTACTGGAAATTCTTTTGGAGCATAAATACATCTGAATCTTCTCATTCTTTTTGACAATCTGGTTTCAGATTCAACATCCACGAACACAGTTGAGTAGGTTTGACTTGGTGGTCGCTCCCCAACATGATTACTTTGCTCTGACTCCTCTTGCACAGGAGCAGGTTCCACGGTTCTTACACAAGTGGATTACTCCTGACGAGCCCCCTAATAAGAATGTGGTATGCATCTCAATCCCACATAGTAAATTTGGTTGATGTTGTGTTTTTCCGATGAAGGGGTTTTGGTCCCAGAGAATGCTAGTTGAGTGCTTAGCTATTGCTCCACACTTTCTCAGGTTCTTACTGTGGGAGCTCTGCATCAAGTTGATTCTGCTGCACTTCGCAGTGCAGCTATCACCTGGCATGATGAGTTTGCACCGTTGCCGAAACCCTTGATCGTGGTTAATATTGGGGGACCTACAAGTAAGTATTTCTATATTATTCTAATTGTATCTGATAGGAAATTGTCATTTTGACCATGATATGATTGCTAAACCGTGCCTCATTTTTGGTCTTTTCATCTCGCTTTTACATAGAATTGTTTTTGAGTCTCTGCTTGGAATACCTGCTCTTCATATGTTAGTTGTTGTCCTTAGTTTTATTTGTTTTTAATTTAATATAATTGGTAGATGGAAGTTTTGATTTAGTTATCTTCTCTGGTTGGTGAAGTACAGATATATCAACATTTCTGTCATTTAAGGATGGTCATCTGTTCTGTATCTTGTCGTAGAATTATTTCTATTGCTGTTATTAGCATGGTTGGGAGTTAAATATACTTGTATTGTTAGTAATAAATTTTCATTATTAAATATTAGAAGGTTCACATTCTCCTGCTGTTTTTGTGCAGATTCAAGTAATTGTAAACTTCTGATATTCTCTGAGTTTTTTGTAGGACGTTGTAGATACAGTATGGACCTTGCGAAGCAGTTAACAACCTATTTGCGTGACGTTCTTGATAGCTGTGGGAGTGTAAGAATTTCTTTCTCAAGGAGGACTCCGGATAAGGTACCACACCATTTGGGTGAATCTGTAGCTAATCATCAAATTTACCATCAAACTTGTCACATTTTCTTTTATAAAAAGACATGGAGTAATGCACATTTTTTCTCCTAATAATCACATTTTCCTCTTTCGGAAAGGGAAAGATGAAGAGTTTGATGGCCTCCAAATTCTCGTACCACTAATTGACGAGAACAATGAGGTCTAACCAAAACTCAATCCGAGTTATTCTGTCCATATGTATACATTTATGTATATATGAACAATGCATTTACACCTATTTTTATTTAATCTTTCCTTGCATCAAGGCTCTAGATCAATCATTCTTTCTGGAAATATCTTTGAAACATTCTCATAATTGACAGGTTGCAGCTATTGTGTCATCTATTATTGTGGAATGTGTCATCTATTATTGTGGGCTTATGGGCTAATATTAACAGGTTGCAGCTATTGTGCGAAAAGAACTCAAAGACCTGCCAAAAGTCTATGTATGGAATGGTGAAGGTAATCTCAGCTGAATAATAATATCTTTGAAACATTCTCATAATTGAAATTTCCAATTATTTTGATCGGTTTTGCTACTGTTGTTCTTTAACATTTAAGGTTTTGTATCTTGTCAATGTAGAACCAAATCCGCACATGGGACATCTAGCTTGGGCAGATGCTTTCATTGTCACTGCAGATTCAGTCAGCATGTTGAGCGAAGCCTGCAGTACTGGGTATGCCTAAAATGGAACATGAACAAAAGACTCCTCCATATTCACAGATATATAACATTGCTCTACCTCTTTCCAGGAAGCCTGTATATGTAGTTGGAGCTGAGCGGTGTAAATGGAAATTCAGCGAATTTCATAAAGCTCTAAGAGAAAGAGGTCTGGTTCGGCCATTTACAGGCCTCGAGGATGTAAGTTGGCAGCCACTATCAACTCGTTGAGATTCATATTATCTTCATATAGGAAAACACACAACATTTCACCTTTCCTCATGGGGTGATTGACTTTCCGAATCATTTTAATCGGCTTTTTGTTGTTATTCTGAAACTGCAAAAAGAACACTGCACTTTAAAAGAACCATCATATATCAATATTGCTACAATCATTCGTTCTTGCAACAAACTAATTACAATGGTTCAACAAGTTAAAGATAAGCTGATGTTTTCAGTTTACTCTTTTTTCAATATACGACAAATACTGACGCAATAGGTGTGGCTGGGTTCTACTGGATCCCGCTGGGCCATTGACCCTTTGTTTTGTTTTTTTCAATATACTCTGCATTCAATCCAAGTCATAATTTGACATGTGAAAACCTTTTAGATGTCGGAAAGCTGGAGTTACCCACCTCTAAATGACACTGCAGAGGCTGCAAATCGTGTACATGAAGCACTTGCTGACCGAGGATGGAGATTGCGGCCATAGGAAGGATCACCTTGGGTTTTTTCTTGTTGCTTAATCTGCAACATCTACTACACAAGATTGGTGCAGATATAGCCGACTTTTTGTTTCTTTTGTTATGCATAGGCGGATTATAGATATAGTTTGGGTACAATTGCAAACGCCTTTACTGTGAAAAGAAAAACCTTGAGGGGAGGGATAGAGATTGATTCGTGTTCTTTCGACTATACTTATTTGTGGAAAGTGAAGTTAATAAAACATGGCTGTATCATTCAAACCGTTTGTTGTCGAGAACATCACTTTCTACCGGTAACTAATCAAGCATATGGTATTGATTACGATGAGACTTTTGCTCTTGGTGCTCGAGTCGCCTTCATTTGTAGCCTACTTGCCATTTCTGTAACCTTCTATCAGATGGATTCGGAAAATGCATTTTGGTCATCCCATATCGGTAAATTTGTTCTTTAAGTTTTATATATTTTATCGATGTATAAAGTTATTTTTGAAATTTAAATAGTAAACAAATTAGAATTATCATTTAATTTGCCTTGAAATGTAATATTTATTAATTAAGAATGACCATTTTAATTTCAACGATATTTCACTAAATAGCTATTTTAAATTAAGTGATAATTATTTATTGATTATAAAATATATATTTGTATTATATAATTATTATGGTTTAATATAATGGTATATAAATAAATAAATATATTATTTTTTATTATCATACTATTAAAGATGTTTTTTAATGTTATTATTAGTGTATGGTTGGAGTTGATTTTTTCAGTGTTCCATGAACTCATCATTCCTTAATGTTTTATTTTTAATGGTTGTTGGGTTAAAGATAGTCTTACGAAGGTTTTTATAAAAACTTAATTTTCATATTTTTCATGTCATATCATTTATAACTCATTCAATTAGATAAGAGTTTAAATAACAGTTGATATATATATATATATATATACACGAAAATGTTATAATATTGAAATTTTAGTCTATTCACCTAAAAAATGTATATATAAAAATACAAGAAATGGTTGTTAAAATTAAACAAATATATGTCAATTTTAACTTACAAATACATATCAAGATCTAAAAATAAATTAAAAAAAAACTAAATAGTTATCTACAAATATATAAATACTATAATATGATAATAAAAACAGAAAATGGTAGAGAAAATAAAAAATGATAAATGTAATGATAAAAAATAATGATGATAAGAGATGAAAGAGAAAAAAAGTGACCAATGATATAACATACTTTTTAGTAGGTAAGTAGAGAGGTGTGCATATAGCAACACCCATAATATATTATGTACTTTTTATTATTATTGTGATATATATATATATATATTATTTAATTTATAGCTTATTACTATTTTTTGTATATATATACACAAATACTATATATTATATGATTATTTATTTTATTATATAACAATAATTAAAGTATAATTCATTTTTTATTACTATTAAAGAACATAATATAAGTACAAACTCTGGTAAAATTTTAAACTGTTTTAACTAATTATATTATTAGACTCGAAATAACGTTGTAATATAATTACTTTGAAAATGTAATATTTTATATAAGTTGTAATTCATAAAAATTGGATTATTTTAATATTTTCAAAATGCTATAATATAAATCTTTTATATAATACTTAATTATCAAAAATAATAATTAAGAAAAAGTAAAGTTTTTAGGGAACATTATTAGGAAAAGGAGAAGAAAAAATATGATGTTTTCTTTAAAAAAGTTACTAGAAAAAAATTATCGCTTTTTTAGAAAAATATAATATAAGGGAGAAAAACATGTGATCCTTTTGACGATAACAGAAGATACTCGTACAATGCAGCGAAACACATCTCGATTTTAATGTTTTATCTTATTATTTGTTTCTGTCGATGTTATAATACGATTTTATGTGTTTTTAAAAAAATAATAAATATTTTATTTTTTAATAAAATATAAATTTGAAGATATCATAAAAATTTGAAAAAAAATATATCAATTAAATATCAAATCAACTATTTAAAAAATTTATTTTTTATATAATTTTTTTAATTTATTTTTTATTATAATTTAATTTAAGTTTAATAATGAAATAATTTATTTTTGGTTTAATAATATAACATTTTATAAAGATAATAATTAAGTGTTCTGTTAGAACTTAATGATTATTCTAATTATATATTATATTTTTCATATTTAAAAATGAAATGTTTATCCTATATTTGATTATGTTTATCTACAGTTAGTTACACGAATTCAGATATGGAGCTTTAATAAGTTGTACTTATGCATAATTTACTTGTAATCTTGAGTTTTAAGTAATATGCATTAATAAACAGTACTTTACGCATAAAAAATGATTTTTAAAAATTTTTGTCATATGCTTTATAATATAATATAAATTACTAGAAAAAACAATACTTTTTGTAATAATTTATTTACAGGAAAAATAATGTTTTTAATAATAATTAATTTATAATTAAATATGTATCTAGAGGGGAGTACGTTTGATGGAATAATTTCTTAGTTGTGTTACCACATCTTCCGTGATGAACTGTTGGCGCCAGTTCTACATTTCGTCTATGTAGACCAAAAAGAACTAAGGGGCTGCTTACTAAATTTTTTATTAAGCCCTGTATGGATAAGTTTGACAGTCTGGCTGGATAAATGGGTGCTGTTGTTTACTTTTTTTATCTGAACCAACAGTCTAAATAACATAAATGACCGATTTATCCTCAATATTAATTATTTGAACATCAAAACAAATCATAAAGAGGTTGACGACGTGGTGTCTCATTTGGGAAGGAGGCGATGCTTTAAATAAGGGGTAAACGTGTCATTTTTGTGGCTGAATGGGAACAACACAATTTCTATCTGTGTGATTAAGTCATGTTTTGTGCGAATAAGCCGTAAGTAAACAACCCAACTGAGCTGTGCGAATAAGTCAGATAGACTAATAAGTCCAATTAAACCGCAAGTAAAGAGTCCATAAGTAAAAAAATAACGTAAAAAGAAAAAGAAAACAAAAAAAAAAATGATGATACAGAAGTTAGAGGTGGATTTAGTAAGATATAAGGATGTAATTAACGTCCCTACATCTATTGTCAAAAGTACTTATTTATGTCGACCAAATATGTCTCTTGTTTGATTCTGCGAGCATGGCTCATTGATGGTAAGATCATCGCGGTTTTGAACTTCCGAATATGTCATTAATTACTTTTCACACACTTGAAATTATAAACCGTTTACTATATATAATTTATAAGTTATAATATATGTATTAATGATTTATAATAATTTATTAATGAATTAAATAATCCGATATATTAATAAAAATCAATTTATATTTTAGAGAAATGGATCTCAAATTCTGAAGGGGCTGAAATGTAATCCTTTGTGGTTGTAGAACCCATACCCGACTCCGCCCTTGGAGACCCGGTTCGCAAGGAATTCTTGAACCCGGGTCGGAGCAAACCACCTTCGCCGGTGAATCTGAGCCTCCCATTTTGTTCATCCTCTCTCCATTGACGCTGCTGCCGAATAGAAATCATACGTATACGTATATCAGCTGTATGTATTAATACCGTCCTTCGTCGCCAAGTTATCGCTTTATTAATTTTCTACTCCACAAAACCCCAACAACCTTTCCCAATTCTTCTTGCTTTTCAAACCCATCCATCCACACTCTTCAGATCACTCCAATTCTTCACTCCGATTCTGGGTCAACTCTTACCTAAAGGTTCAAACATTTTTTATGCAAAATTTTGATTCTTCTTCTTGGCGTATTTGGGTTTTTATTCATTCTGATTGTCGTTACAGGTTATTGTTGGGGTTCCTAGAGGTGAATTGATCGGAGGTAAAATTCTCGTTAATTTTCGAAGGACTAGGGTTTTGTTGTTCTTCAGTCTCATGAATTGTTAGGGGAATGCAGAGATTATTTCAGCTGGAGAACGAAGGAGAAATTGGCTGGACCATTCAAAGAAATTCTTTTAGCAGTGGGATTGGAGTCACCGTGCCCAAGGCTAGGACGCGTTACAAATCGAAAGCTAGGGTTTGATGATAATGATATAATCATCAATCTTGATTCAAGAAGAAGGAACTTTGTATTTGTTTGTTTAGGAGAAACCAAAATTCAGAACAAATAAGGGGTTGTTGCTAGAATTTGAGAAAACAAAAGAAGGATGACTCGTGTTTTTGTTCAGAGAAGTTCTGCTGCTGGTTCTTCTTCATCAACCAACAATACAAACAGGTCGAGTTTGGGTCCACCTCAGCCTCAGGTTGTGGAAGCTGAGCAAGAACCTCAAGAACAAGTTCTGTGTGAGGATCTTCCACTAGAAAATGTCGAAACTGGTAAAGATGAGGATCTTGATGTACCCATTAGTGATAAAAATGAAGATGAGACTGTGGTTGGCTCAGAGGGGGATGTTTTGAGAAGAGTCAGTGCTTTGAGGGTAATTGATGAGGGGGAGGAAGAGAATGATGCTATAAAGAATGATGATTATGCTTTGCAGGTGATTCGCGGCAGTTCCTATCCACCGCCACCACCAGCCCCACCCCCCAAACCTTCTTCAAATTTCAACTCCAAAAAATCTGTGCCTTTACGGATTGGATCATCTAGAAGAGCAAATGTTTGGCCGGTTGTATCTACTAGGACATCGCCAACAGGTTCTCGGCCTTCTTCGCCAAGGTCCCATGGTGAAAATGAGGGATATAATAGTGCTGATGAACAGAGCCCTCGCTATGGATCCTCTTATGATAATACTGTGAGTTTTGTTGACTCCTGAGCTAATAGATCAAGTATGGTGTACCTTAAGTAAATCATTGAATTGTGACTTTTACCCAATGTGGTCTTAGACTTCTTTATTATTGTACAAAATGCGCAAATTTAGCTTGTTTCGTAACATTATAGTGCACCATATTTGCGTGAACAAACATAAACTTGTGTTTCTGATTGTTTACTACAATATTTGAGCCCGTCAGTATAATCATGCACCTTAAGTAAATTATTGAATTATGATATTTCCTGCTTCTGGCTAGGTACTAGAAAGATGTGTGCTTTCCTTTTCTGTAGATTTGGTTTGTCAGTCCTGCAACTGATTGTATTTTTCTCATTTACTGATACACTCATATGCCATTGATATTGGTGAACTAACTGGGTACCTCTCTCCCAGGAAAGGGAGCGACAGTTTGAAATTGATATTAGACGTGTACAAGGTTTCGAAGTCAAAAAAATGTTGGAAGATGGGAACTGCCTGTTCCGTGCTGTTGCAGATCAAGTGTATGGTGACTCAGAAGCATATGATTTGGTTAGGCAAATGTGCATAGATTACATGGTATGGCGATTCTTCAAAACTTTTCATAGCCAAAGTATCATTTTGAGCACTTATGCTTTTTATTGTGCTCACATTCTTTCATTATGTTTATCCTTAATATAGAAAACTTCTGATGTGTCTACTTAATCAATTGAATGATATATAGAAAAATTGAAAAACAATAAACATTCATGTAGCTATTAGAGTGGGCGCAACTAACACTTTTATTAAGGATAGAAAGCGTCTAGCAAATGAGACCTTTTGCCTACCCAATAAGGCAACATGATCAAGAGCATGTAGTGGTTTGCTTTATATATTTGGAACATGTTTTATAATTTGCATTGTGCATTTCTAAGGAATGGTAGAATACTTTTCCTACTTGCACAAGGCTTACATTAGCAATTCTCATCCATGTCATTAATCTTTATTGGTGAATTTACTTTTATATTCTCTGACCATTTATTCTCCAGCTATCCGTTCTTTATTTTATCTGCTGTCTGCACAAGTCCAAAGTTGCTAAGTTGTTGTATATCAGTGGAATAAATTCCTTATTCTATGATTCTTTAACTGGTTAGTTCATGAAAGTTTAGCTAAAACTATCTTTACGATAGACATTTTCATCATGATGGGAACATAACTCAATTTTTGAGCTTGTGCATGATTTCCTTATGAAGTGTTCTCACCACCACTTGAGTTGTATGGTCAGAGAGCATGGATCATGACTCCCTTCATCCACAAAGGTTTCAAATTCATTATTGTATGTCAGATGGTCACTTTTTAGCTAAAAAGCCAATTAGATTGGCTTGATTTCAGGAAAAAATATCCTGACCAGATAGAACCACAAAAAACTCTTTAAATTTGAACGATGTTGGAACTTAAAAACTAAAGGTTCTGTTTGGTTTACGGGATTTCTTGGGATTTGGAATTGGATTTGATTCCAATCCCGCATTTGGCTTAAAGGAAAGTCCGGAATTGAAATCCCGGGATCTCAATGAAATCCCACATACATGGGATTTAGAAATCCCATGGGGGTAGTTGGTATTTTGCGGGAATTGTTTGTAATAATCAATTAATAAAAGGTCATATAATTATTTTTATAAATTATCTATAAAGAATGGAATTCAATTCCATTCCAAATCCTACAAACCAAACACACCAAAGATTCCAAATCCCTCAAAATCATTTTGTCAAACCAAATTCCCCCTAAGAAGATTTATGTGAAATACTACTATGTTTGAATCAGTGGACCAACATGGAGTGAGGTTTATTGCTCAGGTCATTTGCATCGGGCTGTACTGAACTTCTATATTTTACCATAGATGTTATGGGGATCTGGGTAAAAGGTTGAAGAAGCTAGGAAATTATCTCTTTGTTGTAAATAATTTATTTGGCAACAATTATATAATGTCAATGTAATTGGCTTTCAACCAATATCCTGAAGTGAGAATAGCATTTTAATTGACCGCCACTTGATTTTAGTCGTGGTTTTTGGTATTTTGTTGGGTGGCAAGTTCTATGAACTAAAAGCTACTTTACACTGATGTATTCAAGGAAGCTTTGCATGATTTTTTTTAACTGTATGTATGGTCATTTGAAATCCTAGTGAAACCTTTTCTTAGATATTTAGCTTTTTATGTTAAAACAATTACTTACACGGTTTTGTTGAACCAGGAACGAGAAAGGGATCATTTCTCTCAGTTTATAACCGAAGGTTTCACTTGTTATTGCAAGAGAAAGAGAAGAGATAAAGTATGTATTTGCATCTATATGCTTTTTAGCTTGATACCTACTTAAATGAACTGAGCAACCGCTTGTGAATAATGATAATTGATGATGGAATTGTACTATAATCTATATCTACATTCACAACATCCAAATAATTTAAATAAAAAAATGTATTCTTAATATTTCAGAACCGATGATTCTTGGTATCTATGTATCAAGAAGCATCAATGTACCTTGTATCATATAAGATTAAGCTGCTTCTTGATATTGATTGTTTATTGTTTGTGCCAGGTATATGGTAACAATGTGGAGATTCAAGCTTTATCTGAAATGTACAATCGGCCTATTCATATCTATTCCTATAGCAGTGGTATTTTTATGTGTAATTCGACTATTAGAGAATGTTGTTTCACATTTGTGCATTCGATTTACATAAAAAATGTCTTGTTGCAGAGCCTATAAACATTTTCCATGGAAGCTATAATACCGACACACCTCCAATACAATTAAGTTACCATCATGGAAACCACTACAACTCTCTTGTTGATCCACGCCGACTCACGATAGGTGCTGGACTTGGTTTTAGCTCTCTGCAGGGGGTAAGCCTTTGGGATCTTTGTTTTCTTTTAGAAGTTTTATCTTGATAATTTCTTCATTATATATTCAGGGTGTTTTGAATGTTCTTTTATATATGAAACCAAGATCTCGTGACCCGGTGATTAGCTTCTTTTTTGGTAACCGTGGGTTTCTGGGCTAGCTTGTGCATACCTCAACTAATTCCATGGGTCCCCTGAAGGGAAAATCCCCGGTGGCCCTGTAGAGACTTGAACTGGCAACCTACGAGAATAAGCCCCAAGGGCTAGTCTGTATTTGTCAGTCGAGCTGGCCCTCAAGATTCTGGTGATTAGCTTTAATCCATATTTTATTGGTTTACGTTTCAGAGAAATGTTGATAAAGACCAAGTCAAGGCAGCAATCAAAGCTCAACAAGACCAACAGATCGATAATGTAACTAACTACCCTCTGTTTGATTTTTGTAAAACGTCCAAGTCGATAAAATCTTCTAACATCTTTGACTATGAACAACAGGCTCTCCTAGCAGAGGCACGATTTTACTCGGATGTAGAGCTTACCGAGAAAGAAATAGAGTGCATGGTAATGGAGGCCTCGAGAGCCGAATACATTGCTAACGACAGGTTTAAGCAACAGCTTGGTCCAAGAGAATCTTCATCATCTGATGCTGAACCATCATCTTCTGGGGCCAGTGAGTACATCATCTCATCTGCATTTTCCGTGAGCCTATTTAGATGTCCTAGAGTTCCCCAAAACATTTAGGCAAAATGGATAAAGCGATCACTGAATTTATGTAGTTTTTAGTTACATGCCTCAATAATAATAAATCATTTATCACACATACATAGATGCTCACAACCGTACCTATTACATTTGCTCTTCAAATAGTCCGACATAAATCATATTCTTCATTGTCCTTTTGTCCCATATTGACTGTTTATGTTAGTTAATTCAATTGAAGTTGGATGAGAAGTGACTATACGTCCTTTGTTGAGGTAGAAGACTGAAAAAACCATGAGGTTTAGTGATCATTTTTATCTAATTAACCCAACATTAAGGAAAACACAATTGGACAGATTTTTATGTGTTTTGCAAGAACGCACACACACAGATATATATAGAGAGAGAGAGAGCGAGAGGAAGGTTCAAATGAGAATGCTAACTATTTAAGTAAACAAGAAAAAGGTCAGTGATGTACAAAATCACATGTGTTTTACATTAATGGAAGCAGCCCATTTAAGTTGCATGGCAAATTCGTCCGGATTATGTATGATTTGCTACGTGAATCATATATCATTTTGTACATTGACGACATTTTTCTTATTATCTTAAATAGTTAGCGTTCTCGTTTGAACCTGCCCCTATATATATGTGTGTGTGTGTGTGTGTGTGCGCGCGTGCAATTGCCTTTAACTTTTTGGTTGCCTACTAGCATGTGCTTTTAGCTACTAAGTGTGCTAGCTTATGTAGAACTTCATGCACCCTAAGATCTAACAGAGGTTGACGTTTTGGGTCGAGCAAATTCTATATCAACCAATAAGAGTGTGATAACAAAGAGAGAGAATGTGTCTTCTATTGCATGTTTCTTCTATGAAATTCTGGTGGTTTTGATGGTAAATTTGATAACCTATCATCGTAAAGAAAAGCTCAAAAACAGGGGCCAATGCTCGCAAAAGCCTCGATTTTATGCAATCCTGAATGCACCCTAAGATTTACTAACATCTGAGTTCCTGTTTTGAGCAAGTATATGGCAACCAACATATGAGAATAGCGTGTTTCTACATAAAAGAGTTATGGTTAGTTTGATGATAAATTTGGTGGATTTCTTTACGGAAACGGTCTCTGTACTCTACTCCTTGGGATAGATGCAAGATATGGTGCATCCTACCCCCACCGCCCACCCTATCTCATTATGGGATTTACTGGTGTTTGCTTAGTGGTTTTTTATAGATTCTGCCTTTGCCAGCTGGGGTCTTCACAAAATTAGCCTCTCTACCCCTTGGGATAGATGCAAGGTCCGGGTACATCCTACTACCCACCCACCCTATCTCTGTGTGGGATTTATGGGGTCTTTTAGGTTTTTATAGATTTTGCCTTTGCCAGCCGGGGTCTACATGGAAATAGCCTCTCAACCCCTTGAGGTAGATGCAAGGTCTGGGCACATCCTACCCCCACCCAATGTCCCTATCTTTATGTGGAATGCACTGGGTCTGTTTGGTTTGGTTTTAATAGATTGTGGGTTTCTGTTTATGAAATCAGGGGCAGAGATGAGGAAAGAACAAGGAGTGGCAGATAAAAGCATGCAGATGGTGTTGTCTATGGGATTCAGCTACATGCAAGCGATTGAGGCTTACAGTATATTTGGAGATGATGTTGATTCGATGGTTTGTTATCTTTTGGAAACGAGTAGCAGGCGAAAAGGCAAGGCGACTACCGAGTGAGCAAAGAAATAAGACTGGTGGAAGTCATGTTTTTTGTATAAAAAAAAGGTGCCATCTGAGTGGGGTGGTGATGCTTTCTTTCTTTATCTTGCTTTTACTGAATCTGAATCTGGATACGAGATGAGTCATGAGTCTTTTATAAAGTGAAAGTGGATCTTCCTCTTTATTGAATCTGATATGATCTTTCTTTTTGGCATGTGTAATATGCTTTTATTCAATCTGGCTACTCATACATCAATCATAACATCATTTTTATTCTATTGTTTTCGATTTGGATCGGAAATTATCAGCAATTACTGTTCAGAATTCCGTTAGCAATCATCGTTTGTGTTCATTGCTATGCAGCCTGGTTTAAAGTCTTGAAACACAATTGAGTTGTGGCACACCGGTTAAGACTTAAAGGAGATGTAATGGATATCTCATCTTTTTCGTGAAACCCGTAAGACCAATTCTCAACTACAATATGAACATTGATAATCACAAAATTACTACGAGACTTCTCAATAATCACAAAATTGCTACCATGCAATTTTAGACCATTAGCTTATAAAGTTGATCAATGAACGTAAATTGGTCTTATGAGTCTCACGAAAAACTCTTGGTCTTACGTGTATATATATATATATATATATAGAGAGAGAGAGAGAGAGAGAGAGAGAGAGAGGTGGAGTTTCAAACGAGAACACCTCCATTTTATAAGAACGTGAGAACACTTTATCATATGTGATAATACGCGTGAGGGGAGCTTGTGATGTGCGGACGCATGTTCTATGACTTAGGCCGTGCCAAATGTTGTATGCGTCTATGATTTAGCAGCACATGTGATGGTCTTGATTGATTATAGCATCATATCAACAACAAACTTATCGTATGTGATAATACTTGTAAGGGGCTTAGTGGTGTAAGGGCGATTTAGCCCACAACCAAGATCGCATCGAAAATCGTTCGTATTGTCTCTTATTTAGTATCATATATGTATCATATATGTGATGGAATAACAGTATCACATGTGATTACCTATAGTAAAAGGGTGTTATCGCGTTATCGTAAAACGAAGGTGTTCTTGTTCGAATTTCTAAATAAAATAAAAATTATTTGCTCTGGTTGTCGACATAAAATTATATGTGGAAGTGCAACTGGATCTTGAATCCGAGAATTAAGATGCACTGACCTCACCTCATAAAGGGCTGTCAAGCTTATCTCTAAAGTAATTGAAATACGATCGCTGGTTTCCCGCATCTTCATCACCAGCCTCATCGTCATCCTTCACTTCATCACTCACCCAATTTTTATGATTATAGGTTGTGCGTCTCTCTGTTCCAACTTCAGGTGAACTGATTTTAACGGCGGCTTCCGGTGAACTGACGATTCTGTTAGACGGTAGATATGGGGGTGGTGAAGGCGGCAATTGGTGATGCGGTCGTCACTTTCATGTGGATATTCTGTGCTTCCACTCTTGGCGCTGCCACTTCCATTATTGCCAATAAGATCGGCGTCGAGGGGATGGCTTCCCTTCTAATCACTACCTCCCTTATATTCCTCATCTCCTTCTTGTTTGGATCCATTGCCGATGCCTTCGGTGGCGCTAGCTTCTGTGCTACCGGTACTCTTGCTTTCTACATCGCTGGTGCCGGTGGCGATGATACACTCATGTCCACTGCCGTCCGTTTTCCTGCTCAGGTACGATAAACAAACGTTAGTTTTTTTTAGTCGTAATTTCTTCTTTGTCGAAGTTAGGGTTTTAATCACCTCAAATGTTGTTTCAGAATAGATCGGCACCTTCAATGGCGAATAGTACACAATTGGATAAGTAGAGTATAAACATATGAACATAACACTTTGAAAATTGGTATTAGAATTCTGTGATATTCTTGGCAGGCAGTTGGTGCAGTTGGTGGTCTCTTGGCTCTTTTGGAGTTGATTCCATTAGAATACAAACATATGCTAGAAGGACCCGCTCTAAAAGTTGATTTGCATACCGGTGCAATTGCTGAGGGTGTGTTGACTTTCATTATTACCTTTATTGTCCTCTTGATCATCATCAAGGGTCCTAAGAGCTTCTTTTTGAAGAATTGGATACTCTCCATGGTGACTATGGTATTGATTGTTGTTGGCTCTAGTTATACAGGTCCTTCAATGAATCCTGCCAATGTAAGTATTACACAACTACCACTTTATAATTAGATAACAGCTCTCAATATTGTTAGTATTTGATCCAAATATATGATTGATGAATGGTTTAGTATTATAATGAGGTTTTTTTTCCTTCACAAAACGGCGAAGATAAACAAAGTTTCTTTTATTTTCTTTGTTACTATTGAATGTTGTTGAAGCTTGTAACTTTTGGTATCTCAACCGGCAAAAACTGCACTTAAAAACTTGCTTCCCTACCTTTGGAATGTTTCGCAATTACAAATGACATGAACGGGAAGTGGAAAATGGTGTCCTCAGTCCTATATATGATGTATTTGGCTTAGATTAAATAACAATAACAAAATGAACTATGAAATTTCTTGTAAAACAAAGAGTGTAACTATGTTACAGATGTACACAACTTTATAGTGAAATAAAAGAGACATGAACACCAAGATTTTACGTAGAAAACTTGTGGACAGAAACCAAAAGAGAGAGGATAAGATATCACTACGGACTAGGAAATCAGAAAAGATTGGAGAAAGATCAGTGTGATAAACGTTTCACCAAACTCAATTCTCACCTTTTTGAGAAACTCCTAATAGCCTAGACCGACCCATTGTATATGGATAATTGGGGCTGAGAAAAGGCAAATAGCTATTATGTAGACTTGTAGACCAGGAGTTTATGCATTGGCCTGGCTAGTAGCCAGTAGGGATGCTATATCATTGGGTCTGTAATGTCTTGGACCAAGTTTAAGCCTATGTCATATGCTAATGAGCGAGGAAAAACCATCTTCCTTGTTAGCATAAAAGCTCAAGGCTATGCACAAGGGCATAAGCGTACGCTTTTTCTCCTACACATGTAATGCAAAGCCAGAATTTGAGATCTGCTTCAGCATATATTCCACCTTGGATTGAAGTTCTCCCTTAAGCTTAAAACATATTAGTAGCCCTCAAGGATTTGACTTTGGTACAACACAAATTAAGCAAATACTGGCAATGGTAGAACTTAGCCATTGGAACATTGTAAACATAGCTGTGGGATTACCTACTATGCCTATTTTCTAGACTCGATATTGCCTTTAGCAACAATGCCTTGTATAGATTGTACCACACATTAGTGTCATCCTCTTATAATATGTGTGTGTATATATATATAATCTTTGACAAGATATACACCGCTTTTACATCACAATCAACAACGGTGACAGCAGTCCCAGGCTTCTTTAACTGCCTTGATATCTGATAACTACACATTCTGTCTCTATTGAGGCAAAGCAACAATGTGCTATCAAGCAGCCTTCCAATTGACTGCGCAATGCCAAAGGATGTCATTGTTCATCCTCCAAACCAACATAAAATCTATTTCATTGTCTGCCAATACACTCTCCCTTCACATTGTAAATGCCTAATTAACAAGCTAAGGGCTTGTGAGAATTTTGGAGTACAGAACATGTGGTACATGCTCTCTCCTCATCGGATTTTTGGGACAATAAGTTGTTAGCTTGAAGGAATAGTGGGAGAGTACTTGTAGGTTTTGCATCTTTCATACAAAAATTATATCATTTTCAAATGCAAATTTGCCGAGGAATGTAGAACATCCTATTCCTGCATTCTCTTCGAGTTTCCAAGCCAAGGTCTTTTCCCCTGACTTGAGCACTTGGCCTCAAATTTCAACCCAATTTGTCTGTCAATCTTTTGATGTCAGGCTTTCAATGGACAATATTCCACATCATTTGTTGGGAATATTCTCCTTGCTGCTTTTTGCCTTACTGATTGTATGCCCTCTGCTGATTGAAAGGCCAGATAACTTACCGTTCCTATTCCTGGTGTTCCATTGTTTTCAGTTACTTCAAAAAACTTTTGCTTGCATGTTTAAATTACATAACTTTAGACGCACTACTAGTATGGGTATGATTGGGCTACTATGCGTATATTTGAAAGGTATTCTAGGTCTGAGAAGGTGATGATACAAATGTTATGACCTCGTCCTTAGAGGATGTATGACTTCAGATGAAGTCGCCTTCTTAGAGTCCATCTTTTCTTGACCGTCCTAGTAGCCTAAGTGAGTACCCTGAGACCCTGATAGGGTTGCTTCTGATTCACCACCAGAATCCTCAAATCATTGATGTCCCTCCCAAAAGATCCACTTCAGGTATATCAAAGAAGGAAAAACCGCAACAATGCAGATCCTAACACTATGGTACAAGTACCAGAATCTGAGAACTGAGAACCCATCTCAAATTCTCGACATTTTACACTCAGCTTTACCTCCTATACATAGCCACCTCTTCCAATGATATTCCATAAAGCCCAACAAAAAGAGAAACAGTTTGTGTCGGCAAACCTGTAGACAAACTTGAATATTTTATTTCTAAACACTTCCCTATGCTAACCTATATTCTAGTTATTATGCCTCTGTTTCAACCATGGACAGTTGTTTAATTCCCCAAAATGTCTTTGAGGCCTGGCACATCCTGATTGAAGGTAAGCCACACATGAGGAGATGTTCGGCCTAGTGAATAATGGAACATAGGATTTGGTTGACCTTTTCACTAGAAAGAACCTGTTGACTGCAAGTGTGTATACGCTGTGAAACTAAACCTAGATGGTAATCTTGCTCGGTTAAAGGCTCGATTGGTAGCCAAATATTACTTAGACATATGGTGAGGACTACAACTAGACATTCAGTCGAAGATGACTTATGTACGCCTTATTATTGCATAAGTTGTCAATTCATAATTGTTCTTTATATTAGCTTGATATCAATATGCGTCTCTCAATATAGTTCTTCGGGAGGAAGATTGTATGGAGCAGTCTCTAGGCTTAGTTCTTCAAGGAGAGGCATTCAAAGTCTGCCAATGCATAGATCCTTATATGGCTTAAAGCAAACTCCAAGGGTCTAGTACTCGTGTCTCCCAGGCATTGAAGATGTTTAGGTTGAGATGGAGTTGCATGATTATTTGGCACTTTTTGGCAGAAACAAGGGAAAGGATTGTCTTGATCTTTTAGGTTGACGACATCATTATCACATGGATATAGTTCAGAATCATGAATGTGTTTTAGAAGTTACAATTTCTGCTTCTTGGATAACGTTCAAGAAAGTCGAGCTTCTCGATCTTCTGGTCTCGTAAAAGATGATGTTTGACCAAAGCATTATTTATCCTATACTCATGGTCTAGCCTCATGTTCCATAACTTGGTGTTGTCAATCTTGGTCTCAGAGGCCAAGATAAGAGGCAGACACAGTGACCATTGATCCCTGCAGAAATACAAGGTGTCATTTTTTGGCTGTTGGTTTTTGTCACAACTCCACCTTATCAATCCCTAAGCAAACCCAACTAGATGAGATCCAAAACATATCTGACATCTGAGAATGTCCTGATTATCTCGTCATGCACTTGATTTTGATGGTCCTATCGCCATTGATGCATGGTTCCTATATAGCCAATTCCATCAAATTTTCTGGATTCTGTTGGTTTTCATAATTTGCAGGATTCACATTACTTGGATTCTGTTGGTTTTCATGCTCTACCCCCAGATCGTGTCCCCTCTGCTCCCTTGCTTTCTTTAACTCTCCCCGGATGTTGTGTTTACAGAACAGGTTCTTTTGAGTATCGGCGACCAAGTTTAGGCGTTCTTAACTATATCCTACAATTATATGCATGTTTTGTCTGCTTAATTTGATGGGTTGATTTTTGATTTAAAGAAACATGATCATAGATGAAATGGCTGATTACTCTGTTTTGTGCAGGCGTTTGGCTGGGCATATGTAAATAATAAACACATTACATGGGAACAGTTCTACGTTTACTGGATATGTCCATCCTTAGGGGCAATTTTGGCTGCATTATCTTACCGGTTCGTCTTCCCACCACCAGCAGCTCCAAAAAAGAAAACAGCCTGAAAACAATGAATGCAGCCTTACGTCGATCGCAAGCATGGTGATTTGTTTCGTTTAGGCATAATAATGCATAGTTTGTGTCAGCTAGGAATTTGGTACTTTAAGGATGACAATTTTTTATTATACAGTTACAGAATGAATCAGCCTACAATTTTCTGATAATAAATACCAACTTGTTTTTGGAACAGATTCATTTAGTGAGCTTATTAATCATGAAGATTCATTCCAAAAACACAGCCCTAAGATACTTGGAAAAGTTTCTGAATCTAAAAAATATACAAATGATGGGTAAAACGATAGGCAAAAGGTTACAAGATCCATCAGGATATAACTTATATCATATAATAATGATTCCAAGTGCAAAAGATATAACTTATATCATATAATAATGATTCCAAGTGCAAAAGTGTTTATTAACTAAAAGAAAGGTGGAGGTGTTCATTGTTGCAAGTGTTGGTTTGACCTAAGAACTGAAGAATAGTAATGTGATTCCATCTCCTTGAGACTAGCTGCACCATCTTCACCGATCCTAGCCAAGATCCGATCAGTCTTCTCTGCCTGCTGGTTTAGCTCCTCGGTTCTCTGCTCTACATGGTCATTCAATGATGCAAATCCTGAAAATATTGCTGTCTGCTTCAACTCCGATACCAATTTCAACAAAGAATCGGCTGCTTGTACCTGTTGGTTATCATCAGTTTTCAGGTATCGATTATATCAAAAAAAAGCCAACTTGCCACACCACAACTATAGCATCAAGAACTTTATTGAGTCCGTATATTAGATCAAGTGTGCAGGATCTCTCTATCTTGTTCAGAAATTCCTAATTTCTAATTAGACTTTTGGAGAAATCAATAGTAACAAAATGTAACAACGCTATGCGGCTGTTCACCAAATGCTTATCGGGTAAGTACTTGTCTGCAAAAGCACCACCTTCACTTACCTTGTCGGGTAACAATTCTTGGCCGTCAAAATGAATTGTTGGCAAGTGTCTTTTACCCGGTAAGCACTTGTCGAGTAAGATTCTAGGTCCTTGTTACGCTCACCGGTAAGCGTATGGTAAACGGCCACTAAGGCTATTCTTGGGAAACTATTTGTTGGTTGACAAGCTAACCGATAAATTAGTCCCGTTTGGTCAAAACTAGCTAATAAGCTAGATAAAAATGTAAAATTATGTGCGGATAGGTTTTTTTTGTAAAATTGGAAAAAAGTTACAAAATGAACCCTGAAGCTTATTGACACGCTACATGAAATAGTTTTTCAAAAAGCTAGCTTATGACTTATCAGATGATGATTCTTCAATAAGCTCAAAAAATAAGGTAGCTTACGGTCATCAAATATGGCCTAATACCCAAGAAAGGAAAAGTGATGATCTTACCATTCTTGCTGCTCGCACCTCCATCATGAAAGCTTCTTGTGAATTTCTGACCGGAGGATCATTAACCTACAACATTACGAATGTAAATCAGAAGACCGGCCCAGAGGTCAATTAAACCCCAAAAAGGAATTTTTGGTAGAAACATGACAGCATGCATGTGAATAAAGGAAAATTCACTTCAGTAACAGTTTCACTGAAACAAGATTCAAAACCATATATCTCCATAGCTGATGCTATCTAAAACACAAGGAAGAAAGCCACCACCCAAAGTTAAATTTAGGCTTAAAACACAATTGCTTCCAGTTTTGTTTGGTTTCTTTATTTGTCTTCAAACTTGGAAATTTGAGGACATTTGAAGTGGGATATCAGATGCTGCAAGACTGGGATCTATGAGTTTTGTAGAAGTAGAACCGATATTCACGGTTAAAGAAAACTTGATAGATTGCTAGAAAAAAATGTGAACCACCTAAAAGTTGATGGGTTTTCGGTTCACTTCCAATCACATAAAATGAATGAATGACGTATCTAGTAGATAGAAGAACTGTAACATTCTACCCTACGCACTTGAACATCTATGTTTTAGAAGTAAGAAGTAATTAATTGCCATAAAAACCATCACACAAATGCCTTATGATCCAAAAAAATGACTTTTTACAACTTTTTACCTTTCTCAATGAGAGAAACCGTAACTCGAATGTTCTTTTCTATAAAAAGGAGGTTAACATGTCTTATGGTAAGTATGGTAGTAGCTACAAATTGTCCATCTTGTAATTTGCTGACATACAATTATACCCATATGCTAGTTCATCTTTACTTTACATGCCTCTAGCGAAATCTAGAAAATCAAATTTTATGTGAACTCACATGGAACAGACGTGTAGTTATTTAGCTGAAAAGGACAGACTTGTTCTTAACATTTACATCTTCAGCAAAGTATGTGAAACATAGGAATATTAGCCAGGATAAAACCAAGAAACTTCAAGTTTTTTATATCTATAAGAAGTCAAGCGTAAAAGAAAGTAGCAAACAAAGTCCAGGAACAGAGCAGAGAAGTGTATTTCAATATATATATATATATATATATATATATATATATGGTTGGATTCCAGTGAGAATGAAAGTTACGGTGAGAAGGGATTTCCACCCTTGGATGCACATTAGAATAAGATGCACGAGATGAGATGCACTGGATCGATTCCCGTATCAACCACAATTCATGGGTGGGTTTGAGATTAAAAGTAATCAAGAGTCTAGATCCCTTCTCACCTTAATTCTTCTTCTCACACGATCCTTCGTCCACATACATATACACACACACACGAAGAACATACCCGGGCAACATTAACAACAATGCTAAAATTGTCAATGATACTTCCAATGTCGTTGTCAACTCTCTGCTGCAATGATTTCTGCTTTTGAGCAGCAGCAGCAGCCGCCGCAGCTGTAGGACCAGCTGCCCCACTTGTACCTCCACCTGCCCCTCCCTTGTTCATTGTAAAATTCAATTTGCTGCTTGTCACACCCCTTTGAACAGAAACCACCGGTTAATACATGAGTAGCACGCCAACCAGAGCTAAACAAAACTTCAGTCACCAACTAAGTTGTCATATCAAAACTATGCCCCAAACTAACTGGGGTAGGCTATAAAACTCCCCCCAAAGAAATAGAAAGAACTGAAACACAACAGAAAACATGAAGAGCCAAAGAGGTGACCCTCTGAGAAGGATTGCATGCCATCTTTCTACATGCTCCTATCTAAGGTCATCTCCTTTTTAATTTTTCAATCTTAATTGTACAAATTCCAAAATCAAAGAAGAGCAACTTTAATGTTATAAACCTTAGTGTTTAACTAGAAAAATTAACACATTAGACATACAAGCAACATGCATACATGTGTAGTGTGTTATTTTACCATTTAAAGAGAACTACACATTGTTGAGTCAACAGAACAGTCATTCCATTTAAACATAAACAAAAGGGTAAATTCCTGAGCTAGGTATTATGTAAGTTTAAGGAAAGACTTGGTTATAATTTTCCCTAGTTCAACATCTAGGCCCAAAATTTTAATTCATATCAAAATATTAGTTGTAGGCTTGTAACACGAACTTCTCCCAGATCTTATGGCACCATGCATATGTGTACTATACCACCACTCTACTAAAATGATCCACTTGCTACAAGTTCTGTTTCTCCTTACATCAAACGTAAGATAGGTCTCTAAGCACTTGTTTACCCTCTGATTCTGTCACTAGACATTGATAGTTGCAACCTCTTGAGCAGAAATATTCCTTCCAAACAAAAACCAAGACTCCTTAACTCAGCCACAGTTTATATTTCGAGGAACGTCCCTGCTGATCTACCCAGCGGTAGAGGTGCGGGTGTAACCACATGAGTGAGGTCCTGGGTTCGAGCCTGGGCACCGCTCCTATGCCAATGGGATGCATGCGTTGATTTACCTTCCTGTTGATGAATGTGGACTGGAGCAGTGGGGTCACTCCAGAGTCCAGAGGGTGGCTTCTACCCTTTTTTATATTTTGAGGAATTACACTCAACCTTACCACCTGATTAGAAAATCTCCTAGCCATATCCATTATTACCATGATTGTAATTGTTACTGGTGGGAAATCAATAAACAAAGTCATAGACAAGCAGGCCTACATATGGAACATGTACACACCCTCCAAAGGCTGTAGAAGGCAGGCCTACATATGGGACATGTTGCAACTTCTGCCTTTTACAGGTCATACACTTCTGCTCAAACTAATGAGTGTGTCGGTTCATTGTAAACCAATAAACTAACCTCACAAATTTGTTGTAGGTATTTTCAACCCTCGAGTTGAGTCAAGGGTTCTACCATGATTATTTGTTATCCATCCTGCTGAACCAACAAAAATTCTGCCCTATATAAGAAATCCCTGCTTGAGTATAGCTGATATTAGGACCTTCAAATTCTGCTCTTGCATGAGCAATAAGTTGTGGTGCTACTAGCTGTCTGAACTCTGAAAAACTAATCTTTTAGCGTTTTGCACCTTTTGACCATTTTTGCTCCTAAGCTGCATAAAGGCCGGTTTTGTGATCTTTTGGTCCCATGTATACCTACAGCTATATTTTCACGACAATAAGTACTAAAATCCTCACTTCTTATTATTTACACTAATCTTCTCTATGCATCTACAGCTTCCAACTTCCAAGTTGCCTTTCACAAATGACACACTTTTAACTTTCTTGAGTTACTCAGTTAATCCGATATTTATTATTTATGGCTTTGTATGCTAATTTTATTATAGCATCTTCAACTCCAAGAATCGACATATCTCAAGTTGAAATAAAGTTAGGCCCCACAAGTGAAAATGGTAGAACACTCGCACATGACAGAAGTTGAGATTCTTTCCCAGCAAGATACAGTAAATGTGGCAAGTTAAGAGCAGATAGTCAACTGAAAGAAAGATGCAAAAACTTTGGCACTCTTCTGTAACTAAATAGAAGATATGAAATTATACAACTTGTCTGGAATCAGCAGATCACCACAATTTAATATGTAAGGAGGTGTTTCAACTTTCAAGGCCTGACTGATCCTCTGTGCTATTGATAAAAATAGTTACAAATCCATACAGTGCATCCACCTTTGAATTGCTAAATCAATGGCCTTGAGATTACCCCCCTTTCACTCAGTCCAACAGCATCGGTAAAACACGCAGCAACAAAAGAAAAAAGTAAACAAAAACCGACAGACTTAAATTACAAACTGAAAGAATCACCGTCAAAGTAAGTGTTCCCACCCATTTTGAGGTAGAACAATCATATAGAAAGTAGAAACCCTAATCATAATAGAGCAATCAAAGAGGTGAAAAAAACTAAAAGGAAGGGTAGAAAGAAGGAACCTGAAAGCTCAATAGTTGTAGATAACAACAAACAGAGTATCATAGATTTGAGAGAAGCAAAGGCGATGGAGAGTATATGAGGATGATTAGAGAGTTGAGCTTTGGATGATGAAGAAAGGCAAAGCGAATATGATGGAAGTTTTCCATTTCTTTGTCTAAAGTCTAAACCCTTGACCGCATGACTCAATTTAGCCCATTAAACCTGTTTGAACCGTAGACTAGGACCCAATATATCTAAAACGAAATTATCCTATTTTGGAAAAAAAGGGTTGAAACGCCAATAACTTAGAATGTTTTAACTTTTTAAAAAAAAATTATTACCGGTTTGACATCGGTATAAGTTGTTTATCCAAACACTCAAAAATGTTTAATACCAGTGTCACACCAGAATAAGTCAACAAATTATTTTTATAAACAATCTCAAATATCCCCTTAATATTTAAGGTATGGATAAAATAAAAAATATCATAGAAGAAAAGGGAGTTTTTTTTTATTTAATAAAAAGCAAATCTTATTTAGTCCTCCTGTAAGTTATCCTTGCTTAGCAAAGAACCAAAATTAGGCGTAAAGAACCAACCAGACTGCTACTGACCTAGTGGATAAATCAGGAATGCATTAATTTTACTTCCCCGTCCAGCTACTCTAGGTTAGGGCATTTACTTTTTTAGTCAGAGACCAACGTATTAGAGTTAACGTGATACTTGACATGTTCCCCTTCTTCTAGGCCCAAGTATAATATACGCCCCCAAAATAAAGAGTATCGGACCGACTGGGGCATTGGTCAACAAAAAATAAGAGCTTACCTAAAATTAATTAGAAATATGGAATAAAGTGGAAAGTAAATTGCAAACATGATTTATATACCGAACCATGAAACAACTGAGAGTATGACATGTGTACCAATTCATTATGAATAATGATCGTGAAATTTTTACAGTTTATTATCTATGGTAGGTTCAGCTAACAAAATAGAACACTGATGAAGTGGACGAGTCTCTTCTTTGGAGTGAGAAGAAGTTAAGTGATGGTTACATGGCAATAAATACGATCCATAATATTCACCTTAATACGGATGCTGTTAAGGGTATTGAAAGTTTGGTGGTGTACATGTGACATTAATGGAGGCCATAACAAAGATAGATCATGTTCTCTTATTGTAACCAAGTGAGCAGCGAAACCGAGTACCCACTTGTGGAATCGGAATTGTCTTGGAACTGTCGATTCCGGAGCCGATATGAGTGGTTCCGGTTCCTAAAATACGGAACCGGTTGAGAATGGTTCCGGTTCCGGTTCTTAATTTTTCGGAACCGGCGGTACCCTGAACCAAAACCGCGGGTACCCGGTATTTTTCAATTAAAAATAATAATTATTTTTTTATACTAAATTTAAATTAGTCAAGAACTTAGAATTCTAGATTCATAATTTGAGATAAAATGATTCGTATTTTTTTTTTTCAAATTGTGTATTTAATTGGATTCGTAGTATGTAATTGTTAAGTTTTGGACCTTTACAATTATAGAACTTTCAACATTTACTAGAATAAAATATAAACACACAATTTTTAAGAAATCAATAATAATTATATTTTTGAATAAAATATAAATTTGAAAATATCATAAAAATTTGAAAATAAAAAATATCAATATTAATATCAAATCAACTATTTAAAAGTTCTCGTTTTTTATGTAATTTCTTTAATTTTTTTTATTATAATTTAATTTAAGTTTAATAACGAAATAATTTATTATTGGTTTAACTAGAAGCGTATTAGTGCAATGCAGCGAAATACATCGTGATTTTAATATTTCATTTTATTTTTTATCTCAGTCGATGTTATAATATGGCTTTATGTGATTTTGAGAAAGCGATGATGTTTTTATTTTTGAATAAAATATATGTTTGAAGATATCATAAAAATTTAACAAAAATATATCGATATTAGTATCAAATTAACTATTTGAAATTCCTCATTTTTTTGTGTAATTTTTTAGTTCAATTTTTTTATAATTTAATTTATGTACAATAACGAAGTAATTTATATTTGGTTTAATAATATAATTTTGTTATAAAGATAATAATTATTTATTTTGTTGGAACTCGATAATTATTCTAATTATATTTTAGATTTT